TTTCCAATTTCTATCATAAATTTATAATCAATTTGTTTACAATTTTATAGAGTTAGGGTTTATAGAGTTATGCTTTTTTTTAGTGAAAATTGCAAGTTTAGTTTGATTTCCATACAATGTTGGAATAGAAATCTAATTTGTATTGGGAATTAAAGTAGAGATTGCTGAAGGAATGGTCGGTTCATGAAGCTGAGTACCATAAGAACACTGTTTCTGATCTTGTTGGGGAAAAGAAGAAAGCTGAACAGGAGATTTTGACCCTCAAAACTGAGTTAAATACATGTAATGATAAATGGGGTTAAGAGCTCTCTAGGTTCTTAGGAAATCTTCAAGTGCTGTTAAAAGATAAGTCTTTATTCACTTTGTTCAAGAGAAGTTTTGAGAAAAAACTCAAAAACTTAAAAGAAATAGATTGTGTTCTCAAAGACATAAAGGGTAGTTTTGATTCAGAACAGCTTCAAGAGCATCATTCAGTTGAGGTAATAATATCATCAGTTCTTACAATTTTAGTTATTTAGTTTCATGTTTTTTTTCTCTTTTATCTATCTCATTTCTTATGATTTATAGGAAAGTTAGGATGATGGATTTGACAATGATCGGAACATTGGGATGCTTGAAGAGTTCAATGCAGATGATAGTGAGGGTATTATTATTGGTTCACATGTTGGAAACACTTTGGATAAGTTGAATGCTAGAAACCAAAATCTTGGTGACCAATTTGGTAGTTTCTCAATACTGATTGATGACATGATTGCATCTTTGTTGAAAAATGTGGAGGTAATAAAAAATACTATGCCATTTGTGGTTAAACAAACAAAAGAATTACAGGGTGAATTAGAGAAAGCTAGATTAATGTATGATAAAGCCAACGAAGAAAATGATGCATACCATGGAAGGGTATCTAAATTGGAGACAAAATTAGAAGCATCTGGAAACATGTGCAAAGAGATAAGCTCTAAATTAGTAGATTATCGGACAAAAGAGGATAATTGGAATGAAAGAAAAAGGGAGTTGTCTGTTCAAAGTACTTCCTCCATTAAAGATCATGGTAACTTTTTTTTTCTTATTATAATCAAACATTCATTTCATTATAATTTCTAGTGATTAAGGTCATACACTCAAGTAGTGTTTTGTTTTGCCCAATGGAATTGAATGGACAATTCTGGAAGGAATCATTTTGCTAATTTTCATTTCTCAGCCAGGGGGTGTTTTTTTTCAATCATGGAATGGCATGAAAATTTTGAATAAAACCCATTTTTATGTATGTAATTTATGATGGCACAAATATTTATATTACATCAATTCAATTACACTTATTTTTAAATAACCAAAAAGTGTTCTTTTTATCATAAATTATTTGGGTTTTAATGTATTTTTATTATTTTTGTTGTTTCATTGGGTGTTTTTTCTTCACTCCATCGTGGAATGGAATGAGAATTTATAATATTACCCCATTTTCATTTATGAAACTTTTAATGACACAAATATTTTTGAACTTTCATTTATTATTTTACTTAATTTTCAAGTTTCTTTATTTAAAAACAACTAAAAAGTATTATCCTTTATTATAAATTATTTGAGTTTTAATGAACTTTATTATCTTTAATTTTTTATTTGTAACTAAAAGTTCATCAAATATTTATAGAGTTAAAATTATTTGAGTTTTAATGAACTTTATTATCTTCAATGGCACTAGCCTCATACTTTTATTTATTTACTTTACTATATTTACATGTGAATTACATGTGATTCACATGTAAATCACATTTGATTCACATGTAATTCACATGTGATTCACATGTAAATCACATGTAATTCGCATGTAAATCACATATGATTCATATGGGAATCGCATGTGATTTACATATGATGTCATATGTAAATGTGGCTCATATGTGAATCGCATGTGATTCATATGTTAATCGCATGTGATTCATATGTTAATCACATGAAAATCATATAGGTATTTTTGTGAGTGTTTTTGCATCTATCATTTTTTTTTATTTTCTTGTAGAAAAATAACTATTGTTGCATGCTTTTGTACACGGTTAGTAAAACCTTTGTACATGCTTTTGTGTCAAATGGTAATATATTGCTATTTCCCACTGTTTGATAACCTTGGTACCTGATATAGGCTCATTTTGACTTTTGTTGTTGCCGTAATATTGTTATTTGAAGCCTTATTCATATAAGTCATTTGAAGGTTATTCTTGATATTCTGGAAATGCTAAAAAAAGCCTAATGTCAATGCA